TATATATATATATATATATATATAGAAAGACTAACGTTAACACAATGACTATACTTTTTATTTAAAATTAGTTTACGAGGTACATTTATATACATAAAAAATTTATGACTATTACATTAAGCTTATGCAATATAGACAATATATTCGTGCATGTGTGTAATAACGTAACAGTAGAGCTCTGTTAAAATTCACATTTATACTCGGCGCTTTCGGATAAGAACTTATAGCTCATTTACATATAATTTGTATCAACTTGCTATGAATGGTGATACCGGAATGTCGTAAGTTTTCTCTCTCTTTCTCCTTTTCGCTCCAAACAAAAGTCGCGCAAAACACGTCAATCACGTGCCGATTCTATCTAAGCAATACAACAGTTTAAAATATTAAGATCCGTATTCGTACTCCATATTATTTTTTAAACGCGACAATCTAAATTTGGGTTTTATTTTAAATAAGAAAATATTATATGTGTGGTGTGTGTTGATATTATAAGCCATCGTATTTAATGTTAGATACGAAATATGAATAGAAGCTCGAAAATTTAAACGAAACATTTGTAAGATTTTATCCTGTGTATTCACATTTTACATTTAGCTCCCCAAAAACAATATTGATTCTAAGACATAATTGTACTATAATCTTTGTATAAAAGAAAATTCAGATTTACAGTCACATTTAATATGAAATGTAGAATACGAGTACGAATCTCTTCGTGTCTTTCGGATATTTTAATCGCTTAGATCGAACAATAAAGGGATCAATGAAGAAACGAGATGAACAAATCAGGGACAGGAATATCGCGATGAAGAACGTTAACTAGGATTTGTAGGCCCACGATATCTTTTCGTAAACTTCAAAAAGGGCTCGACTGATAATCACGGGTGACGCTAACGACCACAAATCGCTCTTAAATGATAAGCAAGAGAAATATGCACATCTCTCTCTCTCTGCTTAAAATTATCTTCCATAATATTACAATAGAGTCATTTACTGTCTTAATGATAGACTGGTGTGTGCTGCGAATCATTCTTAACATTCTTCCTTTTCTCTCTCTTTCTTTCTTGTTAATTTATTGTATACACACACATAGGCTGGACTCGTATATATATTTATATTTAATATACATCGAGTCACGATTTTTATACACGCAACGTTTCCTCAGTGAATTTTTTTTTATCGGGACAAACATGTAACAGACACTTGAGATTCTTGCGATACACGGATATACAATGTACATATATGTCGGTATATTTTAATATATATAGAATTATATAAGATATATGTATATATCTTTTTATTTCTTACATGACAAACGATATATATAATATATGCATTCTCGTGTAATTCGTTTATCAATAGATTTGTTCTCTTATATTTTCATCTTTGTTTCTTTTTTTATCCTTTTCTTCGTAAAATGCATGACACAAAAATAAATGCTTGTATCTGTGAATTATATTTACCTCTGCTTTTCCTACATACACACACATACAGGCATCTCCGCGACGTATACTTTTAATTAACCGTATATAGCTTAGCTTCTTTTTTATTTTTACAAAATATCACAAAAATCACACCAGCCTTTGTGTTCGCAGCAAGAAACCAAGTTGTTGAAATCTTGTCAGAACGATACCCTCTCGATTCGTTCTGCGCCTCTCGCACTTGATAACATTAACAACATATATTTTAACATTGTATTAATGCAACTGCACGTGCTCATGGAGAAACATGTACCATATCATATAATTATCTTTGGCAGTGATTCGCGTAATAGCAGAGACAGACGATAAATTTTATACAGTAAATACTTATAAATTTCGAACATGTATTGCATTGGGAATTTCAAAGAGAAGAAACGAAATGTTAAAATCCTTCTCTCAATTTATTTTAAATATCTTCAAATATCTTAATCAATGCGTATTACGTTTGATAAACATGCTGTTTTATTAATTTCTATTAATCCAGTGCAGACAATTAATTGCTTGCGAATCAAAGCTTGAGCGAATCAAATTATCTGAATTACGAAATATAAATTTGAGTCAAATTTTGTTACATCTATAAATATAACTAATTGTAGTGAAACTACAATTTGGATGAAACTTTTTTTTTTATATTGGATAATCTTATAACTCTTCTCTGTAGCAAAAGGATTTAAAGATTATTGTTCTTGACAACTGTATCATCTGATAACAGCCGAATATAATCGAATATGGTGAAGTAATTTGCGTCGAGAAACGCCATGGCAACTCCCAGGATCTCGGCATGATACGGCGAGTGATCTTAGTTTTTCATGTTTCAATGTTCGCACGTGCCGTCACACATATACATTTGCGTATAGTCGCGCATACGACATAATATCGGATCTTAGGATATAGACATCAACTGTGTTTTCTTTTTCGTTTTTATCACGTATCACGAATTGTCGCCTCGTTTCGAAAGAAATGCTCGCGCAACTGGCAGGCAGTTTTTACAAGCTCGTACTCCAAAATGCTCGAAGAACAGGGAAAGCGAATCGCGGACGATGAAAAACAATAAAGCGCCAGTGACCAGCACGATACGCGCACGCGTTTCCAACGAATGTATAGATCGCGGCGAAAATACACATCTAACGCTACTATCTTTTATAAATACACGTTTGTCCAATTATATTGTATGGTAGGTACTCTTCCAAGAGAGACCTGACGTACATGCGAAAATTTCTGAAAATTCGGAGAACATTTCTCCTTCTGTGCACGATAGTCTGGTACTTCTCTTCCGCGCATCTTATGACCCGTTAGCATCTTAGTTTATTCAAAAAGCGCTCGACGTAGAATTATATTCAACAATGTGTTGCTTTTTCTTTTGTTTTTTAACTCTTATAATTTTTTACAACAAATATATATTCTCAATAGGAGGTCTCTTCGAATCACTACGAAGAGAATCTCAAAGAGAATAGCAATCTCTCGTGATTACATGTAAATTGTTTCCTTATCATTAAGCTTGCTCTTTCCGTTTAACTTTAATTTGTAAAAAGGGGGGAAATATATTCCTATTTTAAAAACGAATTTGTTTGCAAATAAAGACATTTACGTTGTCGACGCTCGAAAGTCACGAAAAGATGCGATTGTTCGTATCGAAAAATCATACATTCTTCATGATTAATGTATGTATTATCTATATGTGTCCCTGCCGCGTGTTGTCTTTCGTGTAACGATAGGCGCAATATACAAAAGGAATCTCTACGATTCGAGATACGCATTTGTTGGGTTAACACAGTTTTTTTTCAAATTCCCTGTACTTATCTCCCTGAATGTTTCGTTTAAAATACGATTCGTTAAAAGTTCTGTTCTAAGCAGACGCCCAAGATCGCAATTAGCATTCAAAAATATATATGATGAATTATCATGAATATTAATTCTTCCTGCGAATTATCCAAGGCAACACGATGCATCAGACTGTTTTATACAGCTGTAAGAAAGTTCGACGCTTCGTTATACATCGATAACGATTCAACAAAGTATTGGTGGATGTTTGTAATGTTGATTTTCGAAGAGAATGTGTGTATTCACAATTTATTTTCTCCCACCGAGTTACGACGATGCGCTTGATCTAAAGATCTTTTTTCAAATGGAACTGTCCAGAGAAAAATAGTTTTTGCTAATAACATTGCAAAATGTCTGCATTCCGGTTTTTACTCGATATCAGATTCTCGAAATCATTCGTTGTTCGTCGATAAGACACTGGGATCGAAAATTTGCCAAGCGATATCCAATTGGTGGGCGAAAGCTGTTTTTAGCGCGTTCGAGTTCATTTCAACGATATTAATAGCGTTAATTCATTAAAAAGATTACAAACCATGCGTTCCACAATAAAAAAAGTCTCTCTATGGAACGGCAAATACAATTCGTCATCCGTATGCTAATTGTACAACATTTTTGCGCTTCAAACGCGCGAAGAACAATAGAAACATTTGCAAGACTCGTAAACAACTTTTTGTCTTCGTTAGCACAAGAAAAAAGAATAGGAGATCCATCCGTAAGCTTGCGATGCATCATCGCAAATTGTCATTGATCTCTCGAAATTTTTACAGATCACTTCTTCCTTATTACTTGGCCGTTATTTATCCAACTATTGCGCCTTTTCCTGAAATAAACTAAAAATTGTAAACTTGGGACTGTGCATGAGTTTACACTTCGATCAAGTTCCCGCAAGTGATTTCCGGCTGACCGTGCGCCTGTCACAGTAGCCGTGCGCGACAATAGTCCCTCTATTTGCACTGAGAAATGCGCTTCTAATCATCCCAAAGAGCATTTACACAGTTTCGTACAATGAATTATGCTTTCTATATTTAGCAGAATAATCTTCACGCGTCTCATTTGGCCTCGTCCTGCTCCATTGGCTCCTCGGAAACCTCTCGGGAATGTTCTGGCGTGGTTCTGTGCAAGCCGAATAAATGCGTTTTTATATAATAAAACCGTATACACACACGTATACAAACAAATATGTACATACAATTATAGATTGTTAATAATATTTAATAATATATAAAAACAGACAATATATACAAAAAGTGAACTGAATAAATACTAACGTGAGGTTTGTAGGCTGCTGCATAGATAGAGAGGCCATCGCAGACACTGTTTCCGTCTCGTCGTGTTCTTTTTGGCTCGCTTCTATCGCGCTCATTGCTACTGTATGAGCAGCGAGTTTTACGCAAGGCCAATGTGACATCTAAGAATGTAACACATTAAATGTTATAAAATTAAATATCTATATTTAATAAAATAATCTTAAAAAGATAGAAAAAAAAATTAATTTTTCCATATCTGGAAAAAAACCACATTTAATCTACCTGAATGGCGATGGTTTTCTGCAGCGTGTCGATGGCGTTTTGACAGGGAATCCTTGCGAGTTCTTCGTCTCGAAGTGGACTAGGCTCGTCGCCGAGCAACGCCCGGACGCATTCCTGTGCCGAATCGCAAATCGCCGCCAAATCGTAGCCACCTTCCAGGGCGAGGACGACTTTGCCGTCAGCTAGATTAAGTAACTGCTGCGTCATCCTGCCAAAACACGCTGGGCTGACCTTGTAACCGCCCAACGGCGCTGGATGGCCCACGGCTGCGTCGAAGCCGGCCGAGACGATCACGATGTCCGGATCAAACTCCTTGGCGATCGGCATGACGATCGTGCGGAACGCTGCGAGATACTCCGCATCACCCATGGGCGGGTTCAGGCCACCGGACCACGCCACGTTCACGTTATAGCCGAGACCCTCGCCAGCGCCGCATTCGGTGGGCCCGCCGGTTCCAGGGAAGAAGTTACCGTCGTCGTGTCTGTGTATCGACAGGTACAGCACTCGCGGATCGTCGTAAAACATCTGCTGGGTGCCGTTCCCATGATGAACGTCCTGCTCCAAGATATTAAAATCGTATGACATAATATTATATCATAGAACATGTCCGAAAATGTTTATAATTGCAATACAATTTACAATGTCGATTTATTATGTGTTGTACGCATTTATATGTGTATATATCCGCGATATAGAGACGTATAAATTTAAAATCATGGACCGCACAGAAATATAATAAAAAAATTTAATACAAAATCATGCGTGTTACATGATTCTCACCCAATCTAAGATTAGAATTTTTCTAACGTCGAGTTTCTGCTGAAGCAGCCTCGCCGCAATCGCCACTGAATTGAAGAAGCAGAAACCCATGGCCTGATTAGTCTCTGCATGATGCCCGGGTGGCCTCACTACGGCGAAGCCGTTCTTAATATCGCCCATCGCTGTCTTAAACGCAAGATCGACGACGCATCCTACAGCCATTCGAGCGGCGGGCGCGGTATTGAATTCGTTCCACGTTGTGTCAGAATCAACGCCAACTCCGCCGCAAGGAAGTCGGACGAAGCTTTTGATAGGCAATTGCGACAATTTGGACATGTCCAGTTTTTGTCGATTCAACGGATTCGTTCCTATACACATCGTGAAATCAAATGGATTGGTATGAAATGGATAAATTACTTTCCAGTTTATGAACATTTTTGTTTTTTAAAGCATGATTTTTTTTTTATTCTCCTCTACTTCTTCAGTACTTTATGAACGATTTAATTTGTGATAACATCAAACTCGGTATGCTGATACTAACACATTTATTTAATAATTACACAAAATTAGAAATGATCCATTCATTTCAGTTATAAACACATATTGTTTCTTAAAAATAGCACAGTTAGTTTAAAATTTAAAAAAATGTATAAAATTTTCTAATTTAAATTTTTTTAGAGTATAACAATATTAATCTTAAGATTATGATGAATTTTATTTCATTTAGGTGTGTGTATAAAGATATAAAAAAAACGTAAAAAACAAGACTCACCAAATAAGAGCGCATGCGCCTCACTGTGGCATGTTTGGATCTCTTCGAGAGTAGCTTTGCGCGAGCGTACTCGGTCACAACGCTGCAACAAGCCCGTTTCCGAGAGTCTGGCCCACACGCTTTGTAATCGACCACCATGTTCAGGATGACCTCTGACCGTCTCGCCACAGACACATGCGTGTTTCAGCATCAGCGGATCGTATGCTAATCCAGTAGTGGGTCGGTGCGGAGAACCTCGCCCGAACATATCGCCACTGCTGCCCTGAGGACCTTTCGGAGACAGATTCAAACTTTATAAGCTAAAGATATGATCGAATTATCCGAAAATTAAATTAAATCCGTAAAAGAGATTAAATCTACAAAAATCGTTTATAAGTTTTAGAATAAACTTAGACTTATAGGGTTTCTCTATTCTATGTTCCATATGGCTGAAAGAAGGAAACGTTCGAATTGCGTACAGGCGTACAGTTTGATTGAAAACAAATGCAAATCTATCCAATGCATCAAGCAAAACCATACCTTATCAAAAGCATACTCAAAGATTATTAAACAAGGCTCTTTTAGTGCATCTACAAGAAAGATAAAAAAAGAGTTATAAGTTTTACCTAAATGTACTAGAGGACTCGAAAGCGCTCTCGAGAGTGGCCTGGCCGATTGAGAGGTCCTACTTGCGGCGTAGACGGTTGACTCGTTCGTTTGCAATGTATGTCTCATCATGAGATCCCTCTGTTGTTGCAAAAACTGTTCGCGGTCCCTCTGTTGTTTTGAGATCTCGCTCTCTTCCGGATGATCTTTCTTGCCCGTGAGATCTATCACCTCGGACTCTTCGGTCTCCGGCGCCTCGTCCAGTTGATTGGCCTGGCCACGCGAGCCCACTCGCGTCAGCACCGTCTGACGGATCTGTTGCTTCAGATAGTTGTGTGCCTGCTGTTGATCATGTAACTGCTTCTCCGCAAGATATTCCTCGTAATGAGTAGTCGGCGCTATTATTCCGCCCTGCAGCATTGGATGACCCAAGGGCAGTGGCGCGGATTGGGTTCTACCTACGCGACAGAAAGAAAAAGTCATGTAAAACCTTTCGCCCACAATATTGGTTATTGAACAACGCGCGTGCTATGTTTCGCGCGGGAATGGCTCTCCTGGAGAAACTTCGGATGGCTATCCAACCTTGTTTCCAGAATCGCTTTACTCAAAAGAGACCATTGTCCAATTGTAACAGGGCACGCGCACGGTGTAAGAGCTTCTACGAAGACAAAGAGGGAACATACTACCTAAAGGCCGGTGACCAGCCTTATGCAGTCTCGCGTGCGCTACTTGTGTATCCGTGATCGGCGTCGCGGTGTGATACACTGCTGCCGCAGCCGCCGCCGAATGCTGCCTACTGCCGGCTACCGCTGCCGCGGACGGCGGTGGCGCTCCTTGCTCCTGCAAATTCTGCTGGATCTGCTTATGGATGTACGTTGGCTCGCCTTCGATGACCGTCAAGGACGGATAGAATGGTAAAGTGCCATGCAGCATCTGACCGGTGAGCGGCATCCCGAGACGTGCCGTGAACGCGGCGCGCACTTCCGCTTCCGAAACCGGTGCCAATTTCGTCCCACTCTACGAGAAGAAAATAGCAACTGTCAGATACTCGAAAAGATTGATCGGAGATTATCGACGCTATCTTATCGTTCTGAGAACGCAAAATACCGAGTTTCCAAAATGAATGTAACGAATGACATTAAAAATTGAATTTTAATTTACACATATTGTGATTACAAAGAGAATTTTTAGCAAGGAAAGCAAAATCATGTTTAAATAAATGTATATTAGGGGAAAATATAAAATTAAATTGTCATTGTTGTATTATATACAATAAATCATAATTACAGAAAGATTACGAAAACTGCGAGGAAGATAGACTTACCGATGAGCTCGACTGTACGTGGGGTCTACCCAACGAGATGTTAGGCATGGACGGTGAACTAAAGAGCGAAAGATCCGAAAGACTGCCTTGTTGACTACTACTAGTAAGACGTCCTCCGTATGCAGGGCTCTCACCTTCCTGCAACAAATTGGCCCAAACATTCTCTCGTGAATATTCTCGTAACAGATAATACGAAAAATTCATATACATGGCGTAACAAAAGTATGTATGCGTATGTGGCAAGCTTACTTCTTGTATCGCCGTGTTGCTTCCAGCGGTGGGACTGGCTTGAGAATTGTTCACAGTCGGGGGAGAGTTAGGCCCGGATTCGGGATTGCTGCCAGAATCTGTAAAAATGTACAATTAATACGTCGGAACCTTAGCGAAGGAACAACACGTGTCGCTTCGTTGCGCAACGAGAACGAATGTGCGAAATAATCGCGTATGTTGATCGCGCGCTCGCATTACGCTCGAGATCTAATCTCGCTTACTACGCGCCCGAACAAAGAAGACAGACGTGTGACTTTTGACGAGATCTTCCGAAAATAAACCCGACTCCTCCTCACATACCCGTAATGTAACGTATGTAAATCTCGACCGTGACGACGTGTGACGAGGTACCGACCCAAACAAATACGACGCGTTCAAAAGTATGTCCGAAGGTATGCTTCAGGTACACCTTTCGATCCGTCGTGTTATTCGGGGAATCTCGTCAAACGACTCACTCAAATATCAACGGAGAGAGACAGCTGATAGCACTTTAGTACTAATTTACATATGTTAATCGGAGAGAAGTCTAATTCATGCTGTTACAGGAGAGTAAGTAAGCAAACGTCAAAAACTCAACAGTCAATTAATCGTTCACTCGGGGTGCAATGAGAGAGAGAGAAAGAGAGAGAAAAAGAAACAGATAGATAATGTTCGGCGAATGCTCACGCAGAGGAAAAATAGAGAGAACTCTCATTCTAGGATACTCGGTAGTCCTCTCGAAATAAGCTCGAATATGCGCGCGCGCGTGTGTGTGTATGTGTGTGAGAGAGAGAGAGAGAGAGAGAGAGAGAGGAACGTACTTGCTAGTAACGACTTCCGCTTGAGATGCGATAGCAGGCGGTCCTTCCGACGTGCCATCAGGGGTGAGTTTCTCGATGCTGCCATGTTCCTCTCCACGCGCTGTTTTAGTCGCACCTTCAGCAGGTTCGGCTCCGAGGCTGGCCAATTTTTCAGCCGGTGTTAGTCGGTCATTGTCATACCGAAGAAGGGTGAAGGGAGGGTGGGGGAGGGTGATCGGAGAAGAGGGACTCGGACTCGAACTAAAGGCACGAGAGAGCACGACTGCTCGCATTCGCTCGCTCGTATTATCGCTTTACTGGCGCGTATAAAATCGCGAAAAATAAGCTCGCGGATGGAAATTTCTAGAGGCCTCCTCGTGACACTCGCCTAGTTCGCGCGCCGATTCGTAATTAAAAAGTGGAAGTCAAAGCGGGCTAAATGTCAAGCGGTTAAAATGTCAAAAATGATATTTTTTGAACAAATAAGTGAGAGTGTTGAGGTACGTTTGCAGAAGTACCGTGTATTAATTTAGTGTGTATTTATAAGCAAGTTAAAAGACGTTAAATCAAGCAGCTTGAGATATCGAATTAGTAAATATTTATGCAATCATAATGGAATTATGCAATCACAAATGGAATTTGTGATATCTTCTTTTATTATAATCTCTAAGTATTTCTGATACTTTGACTTCTACTTTGATTGTGCGAAAAAAGTTTTCTCGCGAGGTAATGAAGATGAAATCCTTTTGCACGGTGAAATGAAATCCAATGTTAAAAGATAAAAGATGAGACAATCTTGTTGTTAGAACTATGAATGAGAAGAAAATTCCTTAGATTTGATTTCTAAGACTCTCTTGCACGGACTGAAACCTTAATTAAAATTTCAATTATGAGATCTGTACACTACAATCGCAACACTATAATTAAAATTTAAATTATAAAATTCTGTAATTGCAGCACTATAATTACAATTCTACGCGTAAATTTTTACGATAAAATGTACACACAAAGAAACGAACAATTTTTTTTGTTATATTTATTACTATCATTGCATATACTATTTGTACGAGAAATGATTTTTCACGATAAAAATAGGAAAATACATGGACGAAAATATTACCAAATATTTTTTTTCATTTAATTCTCCATTTCACAATCAAATATCGACCGATGAAATACAAACAAATATAATAAAAAAAAAACATAGTTTATTACAACAAGAAAAAATTGAACATGAAAAAAAAAATAAATTACCTTCCAGGATTAAAAATATAATCCTTTAATACTTTCTCGATCTATGCTCTATATTTCTTTTCAAGATTTCCTTACTTTTCCGATTCTACAAGCTCGTGGGGATCGTGCATCTACCTTCTTGATGCAATAGATCGTGTCGCGGAAAATAACGATGCTATTATTAAACAATAAAAAGGAATCGCTGAAGGAACAAGACTACCCGTGCGTGCTTCTTCACTAAGGAAGCTGCAAGTATCCGTATGCAAGATTGCGAAAGTACACTTTATACACTTGGCGCCTTCTTCGTATAGATATGCGTACTTTAATCGGCGAATTATTCGTTTGCTAAATGACCGATGTAAATTACAAGCTCGCACGTGCACACGCATCAGTGAGAGCCAGCGAACGGACAAACAATCCTAATTTTTCTTTTTTTTAAGCCGGGCAGGCATAAATTAAAAGTGTCACGTGCACAGAGAAAAGACGGATATTCACGAAACCTTAATTCGGGGATTCGCGAATAATTAATTCAGAGATCAAACACGCCGACGTGTCGACTTGCCGTATGGTGTAAGTATTATCACCGGATAATCCGATCGAGCGAATCTTGTTTTGAAGAAGAAAATCACACACGTTGTCTTTTTCTATATTGGCGGATAAAATCGTAATCGAAAAAAAGCAAACATCGTATATATCGACGCGTAAGCTGCTCTGGGATTCAACTCGGTTCTCGGACAGCGAAACACCATGCTTTAGTAGACACATTCTATCGGCACACATAGACTACCTGTACGAGAGGTATGCATAAGTCACTTGACACACCCCGGGACAATTACCTGTCTTCCTAAGCGGGAAATCGTCACCGAACTTCTCCTGGAGCATCTGCGGCATTCGATATGGATGCGCCGCATTCGTGGTGCTGGATGATTCCGATTGTGGTTGAAGCCTGGAAAGAGAAAAGTTCGAAACACGCCGTGTTAAATTAAAATGATTAATATCCAAATAAATTATTAGTATCCAGATCAAGAATAATAGAATGTAAAGTATGTTTGCAATTTTTAGTAATTATACACGATTCACACGATTTAAAAAGTTAGATTAAGATTTAAGATCACGCTAAGAAACTTTGCTTAAGAAAGTTTTATTAAGAAATTGTAAATATAAATATTATCCTGAAATAAAATTAATTCGACTATATTAAGTTATAAACATTTTGACAAAATAAAAAGCGCATAATTTTTTGTAAAATAAAATTGTTTTTTTTTTATCACGATTCTATTTGTTACATATTTCTTTTAAAGAATTATTTAAACAATTTTGTAAAATAATAATCTATTTGGGATATTATCTCTATATTTGCGTATGAATCGTGTCGCACATTTTCATAAGTTGAAGATAATTTTTCTTGCAACTTGCCCCGAGAAATATACGATATTTCGAGTATTACGTGCGCACATCTGAGACAGGGATTATCATCGGCGGGGACAAGGAAATAACGTCGAGAGAGCACATCGGCCGTTGCTAAATGGAAAACTGGGCCAGGTTGTGCTATTACCGTTACTTCGTCGGCGGCGACGAAGACTAACGACGACGATCGCGACGCGACCCATTAAAATCGAAACTACGTGCAAATTTTGATTCGGTGCCGTTCAAAACTGATCGGGACATCGACAAGCAAAGCTCCTTTTAGCTTAAGTTATCCTAAAAATGGAATAATATAATACTTGGCGACCTGTCTCTATTTTTAAAAATAGAGAGAGAGGATATAAACATTCATGGCTGCTATAATTATAAGAGAGACATGTGTGTGTATGCGGTAAATAAAAAAGTATTTTTAATATATATTTATAACAAATTAAAAAGTGAAGTTTGAAAGTTCTGTCTCTAAGCATAATACGCCGTAATATACTTTTTCTAAGCCTTCGTTCCTAATATCTAATAGAAAAGATGGACCTCTAGGAGTATAACATCTATATATTTTTCCTTAAATTTAAAAGTACAGAAAAAAATATTTGACAGAAGATAGTTTCTAACGAATCGATCAATTTTTAGTATCAACTATCGGTAATCAGATCACAGATTAGAATTTTTTCAAAATAAAATTCGCTCAAATTTTCCTATTAAATACAGAATAAAATTGTGTTCATTGTATATGTTTGTTTCATAAATTTTATTTATAAAAAAATAACTTCTATTAAAGGAAAAAAAATCTGTCCAGATTAAATTGTACCGGAACCATTTCTCGAAACATCTCAAAATATAATAATTTCGTTTTATTTCATCCCGAATACATATTAACTTACCAGCTCCTGTATCCGGGTGTACCAGGTACAGCTCCGTTCGCCGCGGCGGCTGCCTCTCTCTGCTTCTTGTTCACCAGGAAGCTCTATAATCGTAAGCATTTTGTAAATAGAGAACCGCGTAGACTCGCACGACAGATCTAAAGTGCCGCTCATGATGTGAAAACTCGGAAAATCAATGCTTAGACTCGACGACGGCTCGTCTGATAAACTGCTCTACTTCTTTAATCTTTAATCAAACTATCTTTTGGAAAAATTAAAACAAAACATTGTTTTACGTCAACGTAAGAAACAAAAGCTTAGTAACAATCTTTAATCTTTAATCCACGATCTACGTTGAATCATTTATTTTCTCTTCTTTTTTTATTTTTATTCCTGAAAATTATTTACTATATAAAACGCGTGTCCAGTTTTAAAATAATATCGCTTCTTAATCGACAATATAAATATAAGCATACTTTTTTCAAAGGTAATAGAAAAATAAAAATATATTCTTGCACATAAAATTTATGTAATTCAAAAGTGCTAAAAATGTATATACATATATCGTGATTTAAAAAAAAAAATCGTAGAAGCAGAAAATAAAAACTTACCTGAAGGCGTTGCTTGACTTCGGTGGATGCATTCGCACTGTGATCGTGTTTGTCCTTCTTCCTGAGAGCCTCCAGCCTCTCCTTTTCTCGTCTCTCTTCCAGTTGCTTCTGCTGTTCCCAGAGCTACGGTAAAAGCAAATTCTGTTCTATTAAAACTTTCACATAAATTTTTATTACTACTCTTCTACACATATGCTTTCATCTCGAAATTATCATTACAGGATTCCGCGATAGAATGCAGTTCCATCAAAATTGAAGCTTCCGCTGATAGTTGGGGAAAATCATGTTCGGTCAAAACCAGAATCCAATTATGCGAGAATTTGCAATCGCGATAATGTATATATAATGTATAATGAGTACAAGCTCGTAAGGGCAGTGCATTTATTAGATTTCTCCCTCCATCCCCTCACTCCTCTTTTCCCCCGGGAATTGCGTCTTAATTGGTTTAATCCGGCACGTACGCGTAACATATGCAGTTCAAATCACATCATCATCTGTAAACGACGCAAACCATGTCCGCGTTATTATATCGACGGCTTTAGTTCGATTATGAAACGCCCAACACAGCTGCTGCATTAATGACTATGGGATTCGATGGTAATTTTCCATATGCTATCTGGCCCCTGCTCTTATCACGTAGAGAAAATTATATTTTCCAAGATACATATAGCATAATATATCAAAAAAGCCTTATATATCCTTGTACTAGCAAGATTTTTTACTAATGCGTTAAGCAAAATTTTTATTTTATACGATAAAACTATATTGATTTGAAAAGATAAAAAAAGATTAAATATGTATATTTTCTTAATTCAACAATTTTTAAAAGAGATTAAATTTATGCAATTTATAAAATAATGCAAGAAATCTTCGAATATCTTCGCTAGCAAGGGAAAGAATAAAATACATGGAAAGCCCTATTGACTTTTAAAGTATCAGAAAAATAAAAGAGATTGCATCATTCTGTGTCAATAGTTATTACGTGAAATATACAGAAAAAAAAACTCTCTTAACTCTTCGACAGATAAAGTACAAGGAAGAGAGATAATGATTCGAATCGGATAGCTAATCGCATGTGGAGGCTCGCACAAAATCCCGGGATATGACATCGTCAAGTATTAATCTAATTCGCGCGTGAAACAGCGTGATTCGACCGCAAGAGTATCGAATCATTTATTAATACATTCAGAAATCCGGCTCCCAAGTCCGGATAACGCGCTCGCTTGCGATAAGATCATCGCGTCTCTCCTCCCTGCCTCCATTCGGAGAGACTTCCGAATCTCGCGACTAGCCGAGGAAACCTCAAGACTCGTTCCGCAGAGTTCATCGACATCGTGTCACCACTATTCTCTATTCTACGCGTCTGACATCGTTCTCGTTCGCGCGATGTCTCGTTATTCGCCGATTAATATTCGCCGCGCACGTGGACCGCTCGCTTTAACGAAGCTGCGCTCTCTCCTACGCGCGAAATTGTTTTCTCGCCTTTGCGTTTTCGTATCATCGATTCGAATATTATTGTTAGAATTAAACAAGAGTCTATAAATCAATTACTCAATCAAATTCAAATTATATGCATAAATAAATAAATAAATAAATATATGTATATATATATATAATATACTTGATATTAAGTAATTATATAAATATGTAATAAAGAATTCAAGGGCAAAACGTTGATCTGATATATATGTATATTCAATACTTTAAGATTATTAATCAAAGTTGAAAAAATTAAATTTATTTTAACATAATTTGATAAAAAAGCTTTATATTTCATATTTGTATATTTCGAGTCTTAAAAAAATATAAAAATATATTAAATATATAAATAAATTTTACTGCTGGATAATAAATAATAGCTTATATCAATTTTTGGATAATAACATCCTTCTTTTCCCTGCGTATCATACATAATTAATATCATGTTCACCATTAAACATCTTCATCTGATTTTTTTAGTATCCATTATACAATATAACGAATCGTATTTACAATCATCAATGCAATCATACTTACAATCATCGTCGTACGCTAATCAGTAATCGAAAGAAAGCGCGACTTGACATGATATACGAAGTTGGTACAATCAACCAATAAAACAAATCGGGACAGTTACGATCGCGCACAATGCACCTGCGAGACCAAAAACACCTGTACGCACCTGTTAATACCTCCCGCGCACGGAATACGCCGGAGGCGGAAGTGACGTCGGCACGCGCCACAGGTGCAACGGTATGTTTACGGTATCTCGACGGCCGAAAATAGCATAGATGTTATGAGATGTCGATCAAAGGTGCGAGGAAAACCAATGAATCAAAACCCTCTCTCTCTCTCTCTTTCTCGCTCGCCCATAATAAAGCCTTCTTGAACTTCGAAGAATAAACTTGGAGTAAAATTTCATCTATGCGGGTGTCCAATCAAATTGAAATGAAAAAAAAAATTTGCTCATAAAACGAAACAGTTTACGAGTCATATTTTACTCCTTTTTTTTTTTTTTTTTAATGATGCAAAAGTAAAGATAAAAAAATGAACGAATCATCGACAGATTTATATATATAATAAATCTTTTACTATTTATATTTCAAAATACAAATTTTTAAATTTATAAAAAAATATCGATAGTAACGTTGAATAGACTTCTGATCAATTGTGATTCACTCCGATCAGATAAATCGGATTAGATTGTATTTATATGCGCAATAAGAGTTATCTATGTGTATGTGAAACAATATTAATTCAAAGTTCGCGTTATTCTAAAATATGTTGCACGCGCGTCTATTTTAATTTATTATCCCTCGCGTTGGTGAATAGCAATTTTCTATGACATATTTATACACGATGTTACACGTATTAGAAGATTATAGGACACGATGAATCCATGCATAATTACAAGAAACAAGCGTCACGATAAATACGTGTTATGTGAAGTGGAAAGGCTATCGATTTGTAGTAGAACCGCATAATTTTACACGTCAAAATCGTTTTATATAAATAGAATTTGAAGTTATAAAAGATTTGAAGAAACAAAATATATATTTTAATCATTTTAAAGCATTTGCGCACACTTAATACGGAAACGACTCTAAAGTTAAAAAAAAATTGACTCAAAGAATATTTTACGTGCAATTCGATACAAATTCTCTCGTATTTCCGAGTAATTTTTCAATTAGCCTGATTTGAAAACTGAAATCGTCGTTCTGATCTCAGTTCTTCGTATGTGAGAAGTAAAAAAAAAGAGTAAATTATTATTCTAAATAATCAGGTTTTTTTTAAGTTGTTACATGCCATGTTAAAATGCATACAAATTACAGTTGCAAGTTATAGCGTTGCGTTCATTAATTTGGCATCCAAAGGCAATTTCTTTGGTTTAATAAAAACTTATTTATTTAAGCTATCAAGCACGATAAAGTTATTGAAAATAAAGCCACGGAATTTTTAATAATTCACAAGTTTCCATGAAATGATAGTCAGCTTTACACATACATACAGCGAAGATTGCAAGGTTAGTCGATCGAGAATCTTGGGATTCCGCGACGCCGTGATGCAGCCAGTTTATTTTCACGATCAACCGTTATTATGTGTTACTATCGCCTTCGTGTGACGCACGTTACGCGTTTCGCCGACAATGAGAGGAATATTCCGTTGGACTTTCGACAGAGCACAGCGAGAGGAAGAAAGAGAGAGGAAAAGACAACAGCACAGAATGACGTTTCGAGAGAATTGTCATCGCGAACGGTGAAGGGGACGGGAGGAACGAGTATCGGATAAAAAGCGGGAGAGAAGAATCCTCTCTATTATGGACGGATAATACACGGCTACTGTATGCTGTTGCTGCTGGTGACCGTTGGTGCAAGTGTTGATCGTCATCGTCGTTTAGTAAGAGACCTCGATGTGATCCGCAATTTTGCACGCGTTTTTTTCAGATAAATCGCGATGAGAAATGATGAAGTAGTAGAATAAATGCATCAGTCAACAATTAGTTAAAAAGAATATCTTCAAATGATTTATCTTTTTGCTAGATAAAAAAAGAGGGTGTGATAAAGAAAGACGCGAAAAATGATAATCTTCGGAAAAAAAGAATTAGAGAAGTCATCTATATTTAATTATTTGAGAAAAATACAAGAGTATATATCTCTACATCGAAACTAAATAGTTTTTTTATAAAAGTATTAATTTTGTCACAGAGAGGGAGGGAAGGAGGGAGAGCTTTTTTAACATAAACTTAATTGAAATAAATTCTACAAGCTCACAGATGGGCGCTATGATGAGCAATAAGATCACTATCAAAGAGCTAAATTTATCGAGACACACATAATAAAGTAACAAATCGGTATACATACATGTGAAGTATGAGTCTTTAAGATTAGACTCACCTTGAGTTGATGCATCTGTTGCTCGTGCAGTTCAGCCAATTGTCGTTCTTGGGCCTGATATTGCTGCCGGAGGAGCTGTTGTTGAATCTGATGGTGCTGCTGTAGCTGGAAACAAATCCAGATATCTCAAGGGTATTGTAATGCCCTTAATTGAAAATTAAAATCTTAAAAATGTCTAAAGAATGAATGGAATAAATAATTTGCGCAAGTGTATATATAGATCACGAATCACTCGATACATATTTCTTCTTTCAACCGAAAAGTCGTCACAAAGCTTACGTTTTACGATATAATTCTTTTTTATTTATCAGAATATATTAATTCATTAACAGACATTTATTTTCTTTTTCGATTTTCCAAACGGATGGAGAATAAAGGAATTCGATAAAAAAAAAAAAAGGAGACAAACGCGGAGATGCAGATTTATGCACGGGGTCTTTTCAATGTGTCTCTGAATAAGCTTTTGTTGCGCGTCAAGTGAAAATGCGAAAGTATGCATAGCGTAAAGTTTTACGCCAACATGGCGCGCGCATTTGATCCGTTTAATCCAATTCACTGTGTCTCTCGAATGTTTTTCGTTGTCGTGTTCGTCGCACGTGGGCGACTTTGGCTCGTCCTTTCTCAGAAGGAAATGCGTGGGTTGAGCTGACACGAAGACCAAAACAATTTCGTCCAATTGGTTACATCTACGAACGAGCACGCGCGCGAACGCTATTACCATGTGATTGTGATTGTCATTGCACTGTATAAGAGTGCTTAAAAAATCGAACGCGATATCGAAATGAAGCCGCAAAGAGCCGCATGTCGGACATAACTCTAGAATTGATTTTGCAATTTTCATTGACATTCCTCCTGTGTGTGTGACTGTACTTATATTATTCTTCTTTTAGAAACAAAACTAAAAAAAAAAAAAAGAAAAGAAAAGAAAAGGAATAATTTGAACCTTAGTAACGTTAATTAAGTTTGCGAGAACGCGTTTCTTAGTCATTCCTTGGTTTCTCAGATTAGTCATTACTGAAGTAGCAAAATCTTAATGCTAATTTAAATTATTGGATTCTGTACAGAAAAGTTCATGTGCTCAAAAGTCGAAATTTTCGAAATGATTAATGAACCAAAGGTCGCGTTAAAGTTATATTCAAATTTTATGTAAAAAAAATTCAGTTTTGTAAATTGGCTTTTCATAGTTAATATCACGATAAGTTGAATTTCAAGTCATTAAATAATTGACAGCTGAATATCGCTTTGTCACTGTCACCATAATTCATACATCAATCTATTAACCAAAGCTGATCGAATATCGATCCTGAAATTTTCAAATAAATTGGTATACATTGCAATATATATCGTGAAAAAGTATCGACATATTGTGTCGCAAAAGTACTGAATTAATTGAATCGATCTGAGAGAAAAATTGTGAAATGAACTTTACGGGACAATATAAAGTGAGGACCGCTTTTATTATGCCTCCGAATGAAGGTCCAACCTCGGGATGGAGAGGAAACGCTCTTCGAATTACGGTGCTCGCGGTAGGTTTCGGCATTTGCGTCCTGTTATTCCGAAGGAAGGGTTCGTTTGGCGGAAGGTGGAGGAACGTGCAAATTCAAACTGACAATGAGTTAGACGACTCAAGTGCCAATTCGAGTACGAAAATAAAAGAGCTTAAGAGGTATAACAATTTTTAAGAGATGCTACATTAATACTTTATTTTCTATAAATTAATCATTGATTTTTATAAGAAACATCCTGCATTATGCACGTGTATCAATGTTACGCAAAATTCACACATTCATCCAAATAGTTTTGAGATACGATTAAATCTAAAATATAGAATTTTATTTTAATATATAAATATAAATTCAGTTTTTAAAATATCTCATAATTAAAAATTTCATAATTAAAAATAATGTTTACGCTCCAACATTTATTATGCCATTTAACACCTGGGGTAAAAACAACGGGTAACATGAAAAGCGCGTGCTTATATGCATACAACGAGAGATAATAACACACTTTCGTTTCCTTGACAGTGACGACAAATCCATAGTGACGTACAACGGCGAAGTCTGTCCGATCTGTTTAAGTGTGCCGAAAATTGGCGTGAAAGCCCCCTGCGGTCACTTACTGTGCGCGGAATGCCTGGCGAGTTACTGCGACGTTAGAATAGCACCTGCGCCGCCACCTTGCCCATTATGCAGGGCGCCGTTGAGTTCGGTGGCCTTGGCCTGCGACTTTGTTAGTATAACAACGCGCTATTTTCCGCTGATAAGAGCGATAACGAGCCCTACAAACTCTATTAGAATATAGTAAAATATAAAAATAAGATATGAGGACAGATTACATAATAGGTAAAATAGAGCGAAAAGAAAATAGAAAATATCCCTATATAATAGAGGAGAAAAATTATCTTCTTAATTTTACGTCTCACTGTATATCTAACTGATAGCCTTATAAGGCTAATACGCGTGTACACTGAAAAAAAAAAATTGTTAACTTGACTAAATCCGTTCAACTAATTATCATTTTCTTTAATTGAAATATTTATATATTTAAGTCAAATATATGTCATGTTACATTTAATATGTCGTATTTAACTTAAATATATAAATATTTCAATTAAAAAAATGGTAATTAGTTGAACGGATTTAGTCAAATTAACAATTTTTTTTTTTCTGTGTATGTTGAAATAAACATATGGCTTGAAACAGTAATTGAAAGCTTAATGCAACGAAACTTTAAAATTGATAAAAATAATGTCTGTATATACGATTCTTTTGGATAATATATTATTTTAATTATAGGCCATTCTAGGTCCCAAAATGTCAGACCCGAACACCGTCATGGTGCGAGACTGGATACGCGAGTACAATAATCATCGCGGTTCAATGATGTCGGTACGGCCGTTTCTGAAAACGCGACTCGCCCTTTTCTTTAACATTTTGACTCTCTTTCTAATTGTTGGATTGATCACCGCGAGGCTTCAGGTTTCCGCGGAAATATAAATTTTACTCTCAAAATTTTATCGCGCGAAGAGTTATCATTACGAAACTTTTCAACAACAAGAAAGATACGCGTTTATCGCCTTTTTCCAAATGGACGATATCCTCCGAAGATTGTTTATTGCTAATTACCATTTGCAAGAATGAATAATAAATAAAAAAAAAGAAATAGAACACATATTTGCATATGATAAATAACGATATTGATATCCGATTCAACGCATATACATCAGGTATCATCCTGTGAAAAATAAATGCCATATTTTTACATTATCGAGATAATGACATTGCATTAATCATATGCAATTTAGTTCAAGAGCCAAAGCTCATGGGTTAATCTAAATTCTACTGGCATACTTCACACTTTTATATTGTTAGTTTGCGAGATTCTTCATATTATTTATTATTAGATAAGTATCAGTACTAAGACATTTAAGAAATATATAACAACACAAACAAACTTGCTTGAATTTTTTTTCTACTTGTTATATTGAGCATTTTTCTTATTTTAGGGAAAACTTTACAAGACAAATCAGAGAAACTATAAACATAATGGGCAATCGAGCGTAAATTATGCAAAAAATGAATATATCTGGCGCACGCAATCTTTTGGACATACGCTATGATATGTATGTAATGCGAGAAAATTAATATTTCGTTTATTAATGACATTGATACGTTGTCGAATCAATTCGAGCGAGATCGCAAATCCAACATTTTTTTAATCGCTTCTTTTTTATTTATATTTATATTTTCTTTTTTATATAATTTGTTTCTATAAATATGTGTTTGTAAATATAAGATGATAAGTTATATAACGTTTTATACGTCTTTTATGTGTATTGTCCATGAATGCAATAAAATCATGTTATCGTGTAATAGCTGCAAGTATTATAGTGCTTATATTTTATTTTCTCATCTCATAACAAGAAAGTTTTTTGCAAATCTATTAATGTAATCTGACACACATATTAACTGTATAAAAACATGGCGGAAAAATTCTGAAATTCCTAATATCAGTTCGACAAAGAAATGTGCGGATGCAAATAACCACTGTATTTACTTTTTCATAATCTGTATTCTGAAAAAAAAAGATTTGCCCAAATTTCTTAACATTTTAATTTTTTCGCCTAATCTAAAGTTAATTCGAACTGATTTACATATAGACAGGTGCATCTAAGAACTTACAGGCTCTTCAAACATTTCCGACAAAAAAAAAATATATATATATATATATATATACAATATATAATTCTATTGTTGTTAACAATACCTTTTTTGTATAGAATATATAAAAATGAATATCCAAAAAAAAAAAAAATTTACAAGCATAATGAACTGTCAACATGGATTAAAAATATCTAATACTATAAAAAAAAAAATATATAAATATATAAATAAAATGTGCGTATGTAAATACGTGCAAATGTAAACTTATATACTTTTAATCATTAAATCTTTTTCTAAAATGGAGTTAGTTATCAACAAATCATAGCTGATGAAATATTAGAGGTAAGCTTATCATTGTCTATCAATATTATTTATGAATTCCGTCGCGGACATATTCCCGATATAAGAGAGATACGGAAAATAACTCCCCCCTCCCCTCTTGCCATCCCATACCGTGTTTCACTTTTCTGTTGCACTATTTACATTGTTTTCCTTCGAATGTATGGTAATTGAATTCTACTCGCCAAATAGAAGTCGCGCGTTACGCAGCACCGCACGTGCGATTTCAGGCACGGTATGCGTCTCGCGACGCGTGGCGCGTCCTGTGTCGCCGAGATTTCCGCCAGACGATCGATACCTATAATATACATATACATACGATGCGCGTGGTTGATTCCGTTCCGCCATATGTATGTACATAATATGGGACATGAGAAAAAGAGATATATTCGCTAAACAACGATAATTTTAATAACAAATTCTTTAAAGGAAAAGTGATGAAGGAAAAAATTCGCGATTTTACAATTGAATTAATTTTTTCCTTTATTATATTCTTTAAATCTCCCTAGAAAGAAATCGATTTTAAATTTATGTTAGAGTCTAAATTTTTATTAAAATATGTCGTTGAAATAATGTATGTATGTGTGTGTTATCGTAGCGTTATAAAAAACTTTTTTATAAAATATCCTTACTATAAAAAGATTATATTATCTCGACATTGGATTTTACTCGCGTGTCATTCAATGTCTGCTTAAAAGAAAATTAACGAGGAATAATATCTAAAAAATAAGGAAAAAGGTAAAATAACACAAGGCTGTGAGACGACTTCGGTTGAAAAAGATAAACATCATTAAAATGCACATTTGGGATTGGAATTAAATATGCGCTACACGCTATGAAATACGTCATGTATGCAATATTCAACAATATTGTATGATGTATTCATATAGGTATTTAAAGATTATTTCTAGCCTTTTGTTTTCGAAGAGCGAGATCTGACCGATCTGCAACATAACGAAACGTAATAATGCAGTTACAGAAAATATCGTATGCGATATATATTTTCTCTCCGGCGGATTCTCCGCAAGCATTAAATCTGGCCTTCACCAAAGTATCGGCGACCTTGAACTTAATTGCAATGTAACTAAAGCGCGCACGATCGATCGAACTCACCCGAAACTGTATGAGTTCGGAGTAATCTAAACTTCGTCCGTATATATTCCGACGAGTAAATTTCCGCGACACGTATATTTCTATCCATCACTGCAATTCATTTCAACACGATAACATACGTATAAGCATTCGTATATCCTACGAGTATTAATACACCATGAGCGAATCATAGCACTCTTTAATAAAAGGATTTAATATAAAATAATTTTGAGTGTAAAATAAAAAATATATAAATGTCCTACTCTTTTTAAAATATCAAATAGATCTTTCTTCTTTCTTACTTCAAATCATATATTAAAAAATATATTTATAAAACATATATTTTGTAAAGAAACCATACAACTTTTGTCTGAAACATTTTTTGATATCTCACTTCGTTTCCGAAAAATATGTTCGCGTCACTATAAATGCCGCACCCTGTATATAAAATATTATTTAAAAAAAAAAATTTTTTTAAGATTTTCCCGAGTCCCGATAAAATTCGATGAAAATTCCCTGATTCCTCTACGTACAAAAGAAATCCCTGAGAATTCCAGGTTTCCCATGTTTTTCCAGAGAGTAGACACCCTGATTTTATAATTGACAACGTATTCCAGATACCAGAAGACTTTCTGAATTCACTTTGTACACACAACAATACAACACACATAACATATATATGTACATATATATATATACACAAATACGTTACCTCGAGTATCTTCTGCTGCAGCGCGTGGCCGTGCAGGCTGGCGGTATCGGCGGCTGCGGCATGATAAGCGCCGGAAGTCAGGGTGGCCGTTGCCGCGCCTCCCCCGCCGCCGGCGCCCAAATCTCGCGGTCGCGGCATCGGTGAGCCCGGCGTATCCCTGGCCATCTCTACGCACATGTAATAACAACACACGTCCGGTAACATGCTCTCGTGAGCGATCGCGTTGCGATGGAAGAGCG